TTTTTTGCAAAATACTGCTATAAAACTTTTTAGGACCTAATATCAAAAAAAAAAGACTTGTGTGCGTCAAGAACTTAGGACACAGAAATTAAGGACGAAAAGAAATGTTAACCCTCAGTTGTCATTAAGCCTCACCCTCCTCTTCCCAGGAACTGAAGCTGATTTACAAGTGCACGTAATAAGACACACCATAAATTTAGCAAAAGCAAGTCAACAAGGATGGGACAGAGCAGGGCCTGGACTAAGACAACTGCATAATACAAATGCCCACACCTGGAACAAGCTGGCAACTCTTTCACCTTTTGTTGCTTCTCACTCTACACAGCCGGGATGGGATCTAGGGATCTGGGTCTGTGTTCGTTCTAAAGATCCTTCAGCTGATTCTGATGGGCAGTGTGAACCACTTCTCCAAATGGCCGATGTTTTAAAAAATGAGAAGAAAGACAGTTACATAATCTGGAATCACATTAAGGGCTCAGGGGAAAAAAAAAAATTACTGTTGGTTCTTAGATCAGCCAGAAATTTTGTCAAAAGTACTCAGTTAACACCTGTATTATTTTATGTATTTATATAGGGTATAATGTCCCGGATTAACATCCTTTTAAAGCATACACTTAAATTTCATGGGCTTTTTCTTGTAAGCATATTTATTAAGCAAAGACAACATACCAAACCACAACAGTGTAAAAATAAGGGTTTATTTTGTGTATACGCTGTTCTTAGACCCTGTAAACATTCAACCTTATCTATTCCACTTAAAAATTGCTTTTAAAAAGCTGTCTACCCCACTCTGATTTCCCTATAAGCTTATTACTATAATCCTTGATTTTAATGATAAATATTGGCTAGACAATAAACAAGCCTATTTCTTCTAGTTATAAACTAGCCTTGATCTGTTCCATTTACTTTAATAAGTCTTCCCTGAACTGCTGCCATCTTTCAACAGCAGTAGCTTGTTGCCTTGCTAGCTGTCAAAGTAGATTCCATCCCCAAATGGTTATCTTTAATGAAAGAATACAAATGTGAACTTAAATTTTCTTTCAAAGATTCATTTTTAGATTGATAAAAGCAGTCAGAAGTGCAAAACAGCATTAACTCTGCTCTCATAGTTACTGTCTATCAACTGAGGCATTCATTTCACTGGAGATTCCGATCACAGCTCAGAGGACGACTAGCACCTTGGGAGCATATTCACCCATCAGTGTGAACGGGCCTGGCCACTAGAGGACTTGATATGCACTGATGCTCACAAACCTATCCCAAACTGCAGGCATCCTTACATGCCTACTGTGTTAGAAAGTTTTATATAAAATCCTCCTGCATTTCTTGGGAAAAATTACCTTCCTGATGAAATACTAAAGATATTTGCAATATTAAACTATAAAATAATAATAACACATAAAATTGTTACAGGCATCTAAGTGATGCTTCTGGGAGCCAAAAATGGGTATTCTGCATTTCATGTAAAAAACATATCAAAAAGTGAATGCTTTGAATACACCTTTTTTTGTGAAAGACATGCCTGCATGAATATTTTAAGACTATTCCTGACTGGTATCATTTTTAATAAGCAGCTGAATATAACTTGTAGTGTGACGGTTAAAGCAAAGGATACCCAAATATGTGTACAATTTGCTTCCTAGCTAGGTCTTGTGCAAAATTTATAAATTGCTTTTTTTTTAAGTTTAAAATGAGGAATAGTTATAAAAATCAGAGTAATTTAAAATGTTGATTAAATCACCTGCCTAGGGTTAAAAAAACACCCTACTCTACCTTATCATGGTATTTATTCTCTTTGTATAGATCTCTAAAAATGAGAACTTCATATGTCTTGCACAATATGGTTTAGTGTAATATAAATGAGATACAGTAATGCCTAACAATCTCAATTGGTGGGATTCTGAGTGCAAGGAACATGGGTCTTAGAAAGCCTATGCACTTCATTTGGTGGGGAAAGAATAAAGGTATTCTCAAAATGTGTAAAACTGAGATTACCAATTTAACAAGCTGTATAATCTAAATCCCCCTGGCAGTCTTCAGTTCTGTCTTAGATAAGGATAAAGTTAAAGGCGGGGTAAGGAAGCAGGCCCAGTAACGCTGTAAGAGTTGAGATGAAGGCTGATCTGTGGGCAGCCTACACGAGATAAATCGACACTGGTGATGCAGACTCCGTGGCTGCATTAAGATGCTGAAGTGCAGGAAGAGGTAAGCTTGACTACAGTGACTTTCCTTAAAAGTTGTTTTTGAGTACCTACCACTTTCAGAAACACTTTCAGTCCAATGCACAACTAACAGATTATTCTGTTAACTAAAGTTAACAGGACTTCCACTAGGCAACACACACACTGGTGAGTTGGTTCCTATATATGCCTGTAAACAATAGAACTTCTTTTTCAAAGTCCTCTAATTCAAACTGGCCTTTTAAATTATTCAAAATCATTAATGCCTGCTGTATGTTCACCTATGAGATCCTGTTCCAAAATTAACACTTTAAAACTTTATGGGATGCATCTTAATATCAAAGAAGAAATTAAACAGATACATGTGTGTTTGTTAATTCTGATTGTCAGTATGAAATATTAAAGTTGCCACCTGGGTAGTAAATATCAGAATGTTTGACGAGAAGAGGAAATAGCTGTGAACAGTATACTTTATAAAACCCAAAGTCGACCTCACAGATGTGCTCCGTGTCTGTGTTCCTCTAGTCACACGGGCCGCCGTCCGGATCCTTCCCACACACTCCCACCGCGGTGCTTGCTGGGCTGGGTGTTCTGCCTTCCTCTGGGCTGCCTGGGGCAACAGTCCTGAGCTGGGCCTTTTCCACTGCAGGGGACGCTTCCACACTCTCTTCTGATACACGCTGGCCAGAGACAGGCGTATCAGAGTGGCTGCTTTCAGTGCGGTTTTCTGTAGGTGTGCTTTCTCCTGGGTTTCCACCAATCTCTTTGGGCTTTGTGTCCAAAACAGGTGATTTATGCTAAAAAGTAGAGAAGTACAGTGTTTTCACTGTTTAACATAATGTGAAGTTTTGTAATAAACGTGTTTAGTAAGTTCCCAAACAAATCTGTTACAGCAAACGTTCAACTCTTTCAAGTCCTGGTTCCAGTGCTGGATTGTAGTTATACAAATTAGTAAGCCTCACGGAACTATACATGGAGGAGTGGGACACTTGGGATACGCTAGGTGGTCCAGTACCCAGCTTAGGAAGGGTGAGGAGGACTAGTGCCCAGTACTGTGAACGCCTCTTACCTGGTGAGAATAATTCATTCCACAGGTATTTACAGAGTATATATTAAGTTCTAGGTGCTGGGCATACAAGAGACACCAAAGAGACAAAAATCCCTGCCCTCCCTGGAATTGACATTTAGGCTGGGAAGAGAATCAGGCAATAAATTAGCAGTATCATGCTGGGGTAGGGGGTTGGATTACTGTTTAAATCAGGGTGGTCTGAAAAGGTGATGTGAGTGAAGGTTTGAAGAAATGAACCATATGAATATATGGGGAACAGCATTCTTGACAGTGAACAGCAAGTACAAAGGCTGAGTTCAAGGAGTAGTCAGGAGGCCCTTGTGGCCGAAGCAGGGAGGGAGAGCAGGAGGAGGGAAGCCCTAGGCCATCATGGTATCTTTGGCTTTTCCTTCAAGTGAGCCAGGAACTCGAGACAATTTTTGAGATAAATGACAGATAACCATTAACTATTAAAGCTGAAAGGGACATCTTAATTTTCTAGATGCATGGAGGTATGTTTCTTATAAGGAACTCCACATAAAGGATCCTAATAATTTCCTAAATTCCATTGTGCTTATTACTATTTCTCAAAGGTTTACATCTGCAAATGAAAATACAAATTCCTCTCTCAAACAGAAATGGTAATGTCCGTGGCCAATAATGGTAGAAAAGAGGCCTCGCCATTCCACAGACAGAAAATAGTCTAGCCAGCCAGTGATATGAAAGATTTGGGAAAGCAAGCTTTTTGAGCCTTCCCCAGCTCCCTCCTCATCTAGATAAGGCTCCAGGGCTCTCCTGCAGGCTCCCTAAGGCTCCAGGCCTTCAGTGAGGTCTTCCCTCCAATCTCTTCAAAGGTAGGAATTTCAGTCATGCTCACTTGTTGGTTTCCTATGAAATTTCATATGAATTACCATCTGTTCTAACAAATTACTCTTATATAGTATTTAACATAAAAATTAAATTTCATTTCTTCTGAGGAGGCTGGACTAACTTTTGACCAGAAAGGGGGACAGAGAGAGTGAATAATTATATCATTAATGATATAATTAGCCATGAAAGTAAAGTTAGAGTCAAAACACTTAAGCAAAAGCTCTACAGGAAGCACTTAAGCCTAGTATGAAGGGAGAGCAAAATAAAACAGTTGCTAACTTACACTGGGTACCACCTTGGGATGCTCTCTTGCATCTGCGCCTGGTAAATCAAATGCCCGAAGTATTTCTGGGCTCTTGTTGCCAGTCTGAAATCTTAAGTCAACATCTCTCTCTCTCAAAACATCTCTTCCACCCTCATATGTTTTGTTATAAGGGCCTTCCTCAATGGGGCCAATCTGGCTCCTATAGTAGAAACCTGCATCACCTGCTCCACCATAGGGCCTATAATCAATTTCCTGCTGCCGTCTTCTTTCAGCTGGCTGAAGTGCTGCGGGCGGCTTGCTTTCAGGACCACCCACGTGTCTCAGCATATCAACTGATTTTCCGGCACCATAGCAGAAACTCTAGAAGGAAAAGACATGCACCTTCCTGAGTACTTAATGGTTGACTTACAACGAAATTATGAGGTGCTTTCCTCAGTACCGACAAAATTATGTAATTTAACTTGTGGCATTTATAGGCACAAACATGTCAGTTCCACTGGGCTTTCATTAGCAACCTCTTCTCTAGATTAATACAGGGCCAGAGCAGCCAACAAAATTTGTAAAATCGCCAAGTATTAAGTAGACATTTCAATCAGTTGGACACATTTTGACTGAATTATATCATAACAACAGGTAAAGCCTAGAAATTTAAATTAGAGAGTGCTAATTGTCTGATAATTGCTCATATATTGTCTATAGCCACACTCATTATGTAAGGTAAATGCTGAAAATTATTTAAAGTTATATGTCATTATGTAAACATTCTCCTGTAGGTTTTTTAGCTTTTTTGTTTGTTTGTTTTAATAAATACACACTTGCTTTAGCTTTAGCTAAAATCCAATAGGTTCTGAGTCACATTCCATGGGAAAAATTAGGCAGGAGTTCTCCAAGTATGGCCCACAGGCCCCTGGGGGACCCCTGAGACTCTCAGGAATCTGTGAGGTCAAAACTTTTCATAATGCAATGACATCAGTCTCCTTCATTCTCGTCTTGTGAGCGTACAGCAGAGTCTTGTGGGGCTAGAGTGACTTCCTCACTCTTGTGGCTTATTCACTGTGGGCTTGTGTATACTTGTATTTTTAAAATATTTGGTAAATATCAATAAATAAAACACCCACAAACAAGTGTTCTCTGTGGTCTTCAATTCTTAAGAATACAAAAGGTCTTGAGGACAAAAAGTTTGAAAACCACTGTCCTAGAGATACTATTATTTGAAGACAGAGCAGCAAAACGCCTTTTTTAAGGCAGCAGATGAAGTAGATGAAGGGGCTTATAATTTCAGTTTCAGAGACCAACTAAGTACATTATACAATTGATGTCACCTAGCAACACCATTCCCCTAAACCAATGAGTCCCAATCACAAGACAAAAAGCAAAAACAAAACAGGAGCAATTCTGAGGTAAACAGAGCATCCTTAGGGAAGACAATTCTTTACTAATACCCCATGGCACATCTGAGTTCTTTACATTTTGTTTTATGGGACAACTGTTTTATTGCGGTAAGGGCTGAAAATCAACCCCAAAAAAGCTGAAGACACCATGGATGAATGAAGAGTAATAGTGTAACATTACTGAATAAACGTCTGCTCCTGGATTCCCAAATTGTTTCTCAGCACACCCACCTCCTTCTTCATTCCTTTCTGATTCTATGTTAAACCCAATGTTCTCAGTGTGGCCAAAACTCAAGACTGAAGGCCCCCTTTGTCAAAGAGGACATAACTGATTTCAAACAACTTCATGAAGTTTAAAGAACAAATCTTAAAAGGTATTCTAAATCACTGTTTTGACATCTACAATCAAACTCCAGAACCATTTCCTTGCTTAGAGGAATGTACACATAAGTATAAATAAGCATCTACCACTTAAAAATCATACCACTTCAGGGGAGAGAGGGTGTAGCTCAGTGGTAGAGTGCATGCCTAGTATGCACAAGGTCCTAGGTTCAATCCCCAGAACCTCTGTTAAAAAATAAGCAAGTAAATAAACTAATAAATAAAACTAATTACCTCCCCTCAAAATAATACATATATGTGTATATATACATATATATATATATATATCATTTCATACCATTAAGCACGATTTAGCCTGATTTACAACATAAAAGAAACCTAATTTTAGAACTGCCTTTTTTCTGAAAATCCTGTTAAGTGTTAACAGTGTTATATACTAACCAGGACAGCTAATGCCATGATTATCAGCACCGGAATCTGAAGTAACACTGGAATCTCCTTCATCAGCGCTTTAATAAATTCACCAGTTCCTTTTCCAATATGCTTCAGGGGCTCTGTGATAAAGTTGGTGAATGTAACTGCAAATGCCTAAAACATAAGATAAAAGTAACTTAATTTTTTCCCCTCAAACAACTGAGGCACATAGAGTAAGCCAAAATTGACTGTGCTCTAATTATGAAATCCCATAAATGTAAATGCTATCATATGCTTTTAATGTAAAGATCACTGTGTAGTGGAAGTATTTTTCCCTAGAACAAAGGTTTATTATTAGCAAAATGACTGTAAAAAGCACTAACAATTCTTCACAAACATGTATTTATTTTACTTGTTTGTATAGGTAACTTTTAAAAAATATATTCTAACCTTTGTCGGTGGGACCAACCAAATAGGGTTGACTAATAAGAGCTCATAGTATTTTTGGCATGGGTCATCCTTATAGGTCCATGAACTTCTAAACCATTCTATTTAGAGAAACAGACAAAAAACATTGAGTCATTAAGACAAAAAAGTCACATTTCATTCCCAAATAAGACAGTATTTTGGTGCTAACTCTCCCTCCCCTACAGCCCCAATCAATTTCAAATTGTTCTACAAATAGACTCCCAGTAATAGTGATTTTTTTTAATTTTATCATATGTCCTAAATATTTTTAAAATCTATTCAAATTATACAAGTCTTATACACATAAAATATTTTATGAAGATTTCTAAAAAGTAATTAAAAGCAGTTCATTACACACACAAGGGAGTCCAAGTAAAACTGGGGAAATCTGAGTAAGACTGGTGGCCTGTATCCTGGCTGTGATACTGCACTATTACAACTCTGCAAAGTGGTGCCAGTGTGGGGAATGGGTACAGGGTACAGGATCTCTCTGTATTGTTTCTTACAACTACCTGTGAACCTACAACTATCTCAATAAAATTTCAATTTAAAAAGTCAGTACTTACTTTTCAAAAAAAGAATGTAGAACATTAGTTCTCCTGCTTTTTCTAAATCATAAATGTACATTATGTACTAACATGAGCTCCAGGAGGCACTGAATTGTTCCTTGAAGCCAGGAAGCAAGGCTGGATTGGTTTAGTTTCCATATCTTTTTTTTAAGGCCATTTATTTATTTTAAGGACAGTCAGTTACCATGTGTCAATTTCTGGTGTACAACATAATGTTCGAGTCATGTACATATATATATACACACACATATATTCATTTTCATTAAAGATTATTACAAGATATTGAATATAGTTCCCTGTGCTATACAGAAGAAATGTTTTTTATCTATTTTTATATATAATGGTTAACCATAACTTTTTTTAAAAAATTAATTTTGGACAGCCTCATTTGCTGCTGAAATTCTATTCTGTATCAGTCAATAGTCAATATGGACTTGTATTTATAGAGCCTTTGATCATTAAACCATTCCCACTATTAGACATATATAACCAAAAGCAGTCAACATTCATAAGAATGTTTATAAAATCTGTAAGAAAAAGAAAAAATAATTTCCCCCTTAATTAAAGAGTATAGTAAAGCTACATTATAAGATGTCATAGTCAATATAAGGAGATTAAATCAAAGATGCAAATTAATTCGAATGTACACTGATTCACTTCGCTAATAAAGCTGTGTTGAGGACCTAGAACATGCTGGACACCATGCTAAGGACTAGACGAGCCAAAGTGAGCCTAGGGTCCTTCACAGTCGAATACAGGGAGACAGTATCAGAGCGAGCAGATAATACCGTTCCTGCAACATTACATGAACACAGAAGTCACTGGTCTGAAACCTAAGACTCCTCTTGTCCTGATACCAAAGATTCAGTCATGGAAAGCCTCCTTCTGGCATTTTATCATCTCTTGTAATTTACTCAAAATAAGACCCAGGGAACCAACACCTTACCCCAGAGACTTCCAGTCCACTCCATCTTCTCAGCACACACGTTGCTTAGTGGCTCCATCTTGGCAACTTCGGCCTGATGCTGGGCGAAGGCTAGCTGACCAACACCAAAAGGGAGCTGTGAAATGCTGCTAACAAGGAAGGTTATGCCTTCCACCCTCAAAACCTCAGTCCAGAGTGTGTCTTCACCATTTGTCCAAACTGGATTATTTAAAATTTTTTCATAGAAAAAAATATATATTATTTTTAAAAGAATAGCTCTTTTCAGCTCATGGCAAAACACTCTTAATGCAACAGGAAAAGAGAAAGAACTAACTACAGTTGCCTTCTTTGTAAAGTAATTATGACGAGGAAGGGAAACCTTTTTACTAAAAAGATTGTTTTAAAAATTAGTTCAAACATAGCTCCTATCATGCCCCAAAATAAAGCTATACATATTAAATGACCATGCATTTTCTTTTACAATTCATGACAAAATGGTGTTTTACTATGGTTTTCAGCACAAATGACCAATATATATTTTATTAATCAAAGCCCTGGAGGAAATCACTGAGATAGTAATATTCAACCAAACAACCTTCCTTCCTCTAATTAATAAATAATTAGTTCTAGAAGCCACAGAACTTAGAGCAAAGGTTAAGGGAAAGCATCACATGTTTTACCAGATGAATGCACTGAAACAGCTGGCCACCTGACTCACCCTGCCAAAAAGGTCTAAAATTCCCTTCAATGATTCTGCTCCTTTGACAGGAACAATAGTGCTTCTTTTGAATTTCTATGTACAACATGGTCCCAACTTTGAAAGAATTAAAATTTTGAAAAAAGTTCAGAAATACCTCAGAATATCGATAGTGATTATCTCTAGGTGATAAAATTATAGTCAATCTTTAAAAATTAAATTTCTTTGTATTGTTCTATTTTTCCTTTATTTTCTACCATGAATACATCACTTTTATATTCAGAAAATAACCTAACTTAAAAAAAATAATATTTTGGTATCATTTCTAGCAAAGAATAAAAGGATATACCCCAAATTATCTACATAAGCATTTTTCAAATGCATCTGCCTAGTTCTACTCTGATTTAGCTGTCCAGATGCCCCCCCATCATGAGTGGGGTTATGAAAATAAGGACTGCACATTTTTCCCCACTAACTGGTCAAGGACCCCAAAAAATCAAGTTCACCTGAGCAGGTGCCAATTTCCTCACCAACACCATCTCTAACCACTGCCTCCCACCCTCACCTGAGATTAGCTCAAAATGGTCTTTTATTATGAAATAACATTTTTAATTGTAAAACCTTTGGCTATTTAATACCTTATATAAATATATCCAATTCCATCCCAAACTGATGAGAAAACTGATGAATAAAACACGTCTCAGTTGGGTGTACCAGCGAACATACGTCCACAGCTCGGTAGCTACTAACACCACGATGCAGAGCAGACACAGAAGCACCTCAAAAACAGGAAGAAGCAGAGAGAAGAGTCACTGCCAAGCCATCCTCCCCACCAAAAAATGCAAACCATCGGCAAAAACAAAAGAACTGGACTCAAATACACAAAATCATTTGTACCATTTTGCTGCATATTCTTCAATCCAGTATTACTGACGCAGTATGAGTTCTTAACATAATTATAGTGGAGTTTTTAAAGCATTAAAAAAAAAACCTGTTGATCATATCCCCCTCGTCCCGTCTTACCATAAACACATTATATGGGTCCACTCCAAAGGAATCTTCAAATCGCCACTTCCATGTTTCAAAATCATGAAACTTAAAATTAATTAAAATATCACTTAGTGCATCATCCAAGGCTCCTGGCTTCCAGTCTTCTCCACTGAGAAACTTTTGTATTTCTAATAAGGTTTGTCTTTTAAGGATAATCTCGGCATCATAATGCATATCGCCTTTGTTTTCATCAGGCTGAATTAAATTTGCCAAAAAATAAAAACAGAAAAGGAGATTTTCATCGTTATATTACTCAATGAAATATTTTAAGACAAAAACTAATTTGGAATTAAATATATAGTTAGTTCACAATATTTCATAGTTAAAAATAAGTAATAATACCTGTCTGTCTCACAGGCCAACAAGAAAACCAAAGATAATATGTGTGAAAAACATTTCAAAAATTATAAAACTTTATGCAAAGTAACTCACTGTACATTTTACTAAAATACAGTTGATTCTTGCTATCTGCAGTAGTTGTGTTCTATAAAGTCAACTGAACCCTAATCAGCAAACACTGAGCCATAGTTCCTACAGGAAATACAGGATTAGGTTCCTGCAAGCACATTTCCATCAACCAATCAATACATAACCTTTTAACGTTTTCTTTAAAGACATCTTAATATATACGATTGATCCCTTAACTCTGACCTCACAGCCAACAGCACTGTGCCCCATGACTGAACTAAGCTTATCTAAAAAGGGAATCTTCTCTAAGGCACATCTCAGACTTCCTGTGCTTAGGAACACTAGACAGCACTACATCTGGGAGATTCTTATACAGCAAAAAAAAAAAAAAAAAAAAAAAAAAAAGGCCTGAAAAATGTCACTAAAGAGACCATGAGAATTGTTTGTAGCATGCGAGCTGAAACAAGAAGGCAGAACAGGGACGGGCTCCACCTCAGCTGAGAATGGGCTCATCAGGCAACTCAAAGGATGGCTGCTCTGCGCATGTCTGAGAGTGACCACAAAAGCATGAGTACTGATTCTGAGGTTACAAATAAAGTTTAGTAAATAGACAAATTAAAAAATACAGAATCCACAATAATGAGAATAAACTCATTATTTTATGATTCAGTTTATGACTTTTCATTTGCTGACAGTTTTCAAACAGCCTAAAATCTGCAGTATTATAAATAAAAAACAAAAGGGATCTGAAGGAGCAGCAAAAACTGGGTTTCCATGAACATACATGACATTCACAACTATATTAGGGTGAGTTCAGGTTAGCATAATCACTATAAACATAACCAGTTAATATAAGTAAGAGAAAATTCTTTTTTCTCTAACAGTAAATCCAGATATTTATATCAAAAAATATAAATTGAGAAAAACCAAAGTTTTATGTAAATATCACAAATCATCAGTAAGTACTAAAAAGCAGTCATTGATTAATATTTTTAAAAAACCAGAAACTAAATATGCCAAGTATCTCCATCTTGAGTATTTTCTGGCTCCATCTGTTTCCTCATCTATAAAATACTCTCTGTTCCACTTCTCACTCAGTTCTAAGACTTGAATTGAAGGGGACACATATGAGTACATCTACCTTTACATTCCCAAAATAAGGTGGGATCAGTAAATTATTCATCTAACACTCCTTTTCTTTAAGTTTCCTTGATGTTTTGACTCCCCAAAGTGTAAACAGTAAATCTAAAAAATAGAACCTTAACATTAATCATAAGGAACATGTGCATAATATGTAATCCTATAAAGTATCCCTTGCCATAGCAAACAGCTAGGGGGGAAAACGACTTACAACACATTTCTCTCTTTCTCAATATATAATGATATTACATCATCCAAATAAGGAAATGTGGAAGTGGTAGAAAGCAAGAAGTAAGGTACTGGGATAGAAATTCCTTACCAAGCCACGAGTTCATTAAGTTTCCAACTGTTCAGTAAAGTTCAAACAGCAAATTTAAAACAATCCTGGTGACCCCGCAACTCAATTTGATGTGGTAAGGCCCCATAAAAAAAGACTGGCAGGACCCTCCCAGGCAGGGCCACTACTCTTCTGCCAGCACCACACAGTTCCCTGGCCCAGAGGCTCTATCTCACTTTTTGCCTCTGACGGCTTACTTCTAAGAAAGTGGAACTTACCGCTAAAATTCTATTGGTTCCCTGAGCTCACGCCTGATTGGTTATTTCCTTCACTCCTGATTGGTCCATTTCCCTAACTTCTGATTGGTCCATTTGTAGTACTTCATTTGCATGGAGCTTCACTCCTGATTTGTTCTTTCTCTCCCTCCTGATTGGTCCATTTCTACAAAGCTTGTTCTTAATTAGTCAACTTTTGTTATACCTTATTTGCATATGATGTTGCAAAGTGTAAACCGGCAGCCTATAAAAGCGTGTGTAAACCTACAGACAGGGTCCAGAGTTTGGAGTGTTAACTCCTCTGGGCCTGCTGGTCTCCAACGCTCCGAGTGCTGTTTGGTCTCTTGTCCCAATCCAGGTTGCTGTCATAACTGAGCTGTAACACCAAGCTGTAACATGTTTTTCTGCAACAAATTAAGCAACACAGCAGTGCACAGCTGAGTAAGTAAATCCCCATGAACTATGAGAAAAAGAGGAGGGGTCTGCACTGCTCACTTGCCTTTGGCCAAACCACTGCAAAGCAGGCTGCTACTTTCAGTCCTGCACGAAAAGGTTTTGGTAAAAGGGTGAGTCAGGTATCCTCTGCTGAACCATAATGATGCTTTAGCACTGCTTGACACAATTTGAAATTAATAAACAACGAAAATATCCACTACACTGATTAGCATTACATCATCAAACACTCACAAGTCCAAGCTTTCTGGTTTCAATTAAAATCTTATTTAAGTATCTCCGAAAAACAGGATTGCTTTGACTTTCATAGTCTTCCCTCTTCTTCTGTTCACACTCATCAATCTGCAACCACAAAAGAAATACAACATTAGTTAGTGTCAAAGTTTAATGTAAGGGTCAAGTTTCTAGCCTGGTGGCCCCATCAAGATCAAGGTAAGGAGCTGGTTATCTTTATCAAGCTTGCACTAAAACATAGATCTTGCTTGCTTTCTGTGGATTCTCTTTGCAATCAGCACGTAGGCAACAAATGAGAAACACATGTGCAGCACTGCATCCTGATTAGCAGTTTTTTCCTGCTGACTTTGACCAATTTTAAAGCTGAAGATCACAAGGCAAGGAGGCAGAGATGTGGAACATCTGCCTCTTCCAAATTCCAAAGTGATGATTTAACAAAGGAATGAAAGGAAAAGGGAAAGGTAGAAAGAAAAAAATGGAGAGAGGACAGAGAAAGAGAAACAGAGACAGGATGAAGCCAGAAGATGAAAGGAAGGACCCAGCAAAGAATTTCTTGAATGTGCCTATAACTTCTGGCCTTTTATTAATTTTTCCTGTCAACAACTGATCATCCCCTACCACATGAGATGCTTCACGAAGGCAGGAACCATGGCTTCTGCAGGGTGTCCGACACATGCCACCCCCTCAGCACAGAATTCTTCATTAGAATAGTCTTCCCCTGAACTTAACTCTACAAACACCCCAGCGATCAAATCTCTGAGTGAGGGTAGTGTACATCTTACAGACATTTAGACCCTATGTTAAGCAATTTCCATTGTTTACTTGAGCGTGGACCACAAGTTGAGTTGAGCACTGAAATGGGCTTCAGGCAATAAACATGACAGTAACTGAGCAGCACACGCGGACTCAGGATAGAAAGACACTAGAGAAGTCACGTGGCAGTTTCCTCTGCTTTCAGGAAAGGTTTACAAACCTTAAAATTTTTTAAATTTCTTTTTAAGAGAAACTTTTTTTTTAAAAAAGACACAAGGATTCAAGACTCCATTTTACCAATAGCGTTTTTACAACGTTTCAACCAAAGTCACGAAAATGGTCTGTAAAAAGCCATTTCTGCTTTTCCTACTATGCAGCCATATTAGCTCACTACACCACAAAACAGTTAAACTGAGGCAAGTTTTATCCGGGCATTTCTCTGCAAGCACTTGGGTGAGACAACATTCACATTTGATAAGAACCATAAGCAGCTGCTTATAGATCTGAATTGGGATTTATCCGGATCTCAGTTAACAAGCCCTCCCCAGCTGGAGCAAGTCTCTAGCTGGAAACCTCCCTCATTCACTCCAGCTCTTCCCTGTTTCCCCTCCTACCTCAGCCACCACAACTCCCCTATTCTACCATGGAAAGGCCAAACACCTTTCTCTTCAACCCCGGCCACTGCCTCAATTTGAGTCTTCAGGTTCTGGACCTCTGCCGTCCCCCGACCTGAGGCCCCCTCCCCAGTGCCACCAGCTCACGCTCCCTCACAACCAACAGGTGGACTCTCGCAGCGTAAGCTTTTCTCTATTTCTATGGGTTCTCTTTGCAAAAGGCAAGTAGGCAACAAATGAGGAACACATGTGCAGCACTGCACCCTGATTAGCAGTTTTCCTGATGACTTTCAGCAATTTTAAAGCTGAAGACCATGAAGATCAAACCCTCTAACAATCCTGACTTATTTCCTTTCTCATAAACTCTAGTCACATAAATAAAAGGACTGAGTAAATGAAGACACAGCTACCACACACTAAATTACAGTAATCCCTTGTGTTTGTAAGAGTAACTCTTAATGCTTGTAAGCTGGTACCAGAGCCAATGCTTCATCTGCTACGTCTGTCAGGAGTTACTACACCCCAGCTTTGCGCCAGGTGATAGAGAATCGTGGATGAACAAAACAATTTCTTGCCCTAGGAAATTTTCAGCCTGGTGAAGAAATAATTACAACATAGTGAGAGCTAAATGTTATTACAGAAAAATGAAAGTACTATTTTAAAAAACCAAGGCCAGAGTAACCAAAGAGAAATCAAGGCTAGAGTAACTAAAGAAAAAAATCGTATGTATGTAAATTTTACTTTAGACAGAAACACAAATAATATTAGCAAAGACAGGAAAACAGAGCAATTTAACATACTATATATAATATAAAAATCATGAATGAAAAAAATCTAACCTTATAATTTAGAGAATCAAGTTTGCTGTAGCATTCTGACAACTCATCAGCATATGACATGTCAGGACTATCCTCCTTTTTCTCTGATATACCATGTTTCACCTAAAGCAAAGTAGAGAGAGATTTTGTGTCTTTATAGTTCAGTTGTAAAAATAACCTACAGTTAATGAAGACTAAAATTTTGGCTTCATCATTTTATGACTTTGCTCATTACATTCTTCAACTGTATTAAACCACCAAAAAAATAAGAGCCTCAAATTTATCTACCAGCTAGGAACCAAAATCAAGTAGTTTGCTTCTTGATGGGCTTTACATTTAAATTTGAAACAGAAATAACCAGATGGGGTTGAACTCATCTTAGACTAAGAGCCGGGAAGTTCTCATGATTGCTAATCATGAACTCCTTGCTCTGTGTAAAACAGTAACAAAATTGCACTATTTCCATCATAGGACTGATATGGTCTTAAACACACTCACACATTTTTTAAATACCTGAGATTTTCTCATTGTTCCTGAAGCAGCATCATAGTTAAGCATGTCTGTGGGGTCAATCCAGTCATCATCATGACCATAAGCAGTTATCAACCACAGACACTGGCAAAGGAGCAAAGAACACAGCATCCTGCATGAAGGCTAAAGAAACTAACAAATACAATGAAACATAATTATTTTTAGAAGAAACTTTTTTGTGATAAAAACAATCTACTTCCTTCCAGTGCTAAGATAATGTTTTCCCAATAATAACTGAGATAAAAATACTCAGTAAAATGGTATTTGCATATTAAACACATACACACATTTTCTCATTGAGACCAAAAAATAAGATTTTCCAAAATGATTCAGTAATTCCATTCCTAGGTATACAGCCAAGAGAAATGAAAATCTATGTCTACACAAAAACTTGTACACATTTATAGCCATATTAGTCACAATAGCCAAAAAGTAGAAATAACCCAAATGTCCATAAACTGATGAATGAATAAAATGTGGCATATTCATACATGGAATATTACGAGGCCATAAAAAGAATGATGTATTAACACATGCTACAACATGGATGGAGCTTGAAAACATTATTATGTGAAAGAAGTCAGTTACCAAACAAAGGCCATATATTATATGATCCATTCGTATGAAATGTCCCTAATAGGCAAATCTATGGAGACAGGAAGTAGATTGGAGCTGCTGAGGGTATAATAAGGGACAGAGAGGTAGTAGTTGAAAGGTAGAGGGTTTCTTTCTGAGGTGATGAAAAGCCATCTAAAATTAACTGTGGTAACAGTTTTATGTATATATATATATATATATATATCTGTGAATATACTAAAATTGAACTGTACAATTTAAATGCGTGAATCATTTCTCAGCAAAACTTTTAAAAAAACATTCTAATCAAACCTTCCTCATCCCCCATTTTTTTTTAACAAATGAGACATTAAAAAAGGTGCAAAATTAAGATTCAAATGAGGTGACCAAACTCTCAAATAATCAGAGGAAACAGCATGCTTCATCCAAGCCTCTGTGTAAAATCACTGTCAAATCATTTCAACACTTAATAGCTCCTCTATTCAACACTGTCCAATATAGTAGCCATTAGCCACATGTGGCTATTTAAATTAAAATTAAATTAAAAATCAGGTCTTCATTCTTACTAAGCTGCATTTCAAGCACTCAATAGCCATGTGTGGCTAGTGGCTGCCAAACTGATCGGTGCAGACGTAGGACATTTCCATTACTGCAAAATGGGCTGCTGGACAGCCTCTCTTATACCTACTGAGAATAATAATCAGGTAAGGGAGTTTCAAGACAAGAAAGCCATCAATGACTTATAGTCTAGTTGCAGGAATAAAAGTAACACCACGCCAAATCAAACACTCTTTTGTGTTCCTAGTTGCTCTGTTTCTTCTTGTAGCATAACACATTCTGAGATTAGCCACTTCTTGGCCAGAATCATTTCAAATCATTTCAACACTTAGTAGCTCCTCTATTCAACACTATCCAATACAGTAGCCATTAGCCACATGTGGCTATTTAATTTAAATTAAATTAAAAATGACATCTTTTTACTTTTATTAAAATAAAAGCTACATCCTAGACCCTTAGATCAGAATCTCTTGGGGTAAGACATAGGCACTGGGATTTTTATGGCTCCTCAGCTGGTTCCATCACACAATGAAGGTAGGAAACCACTGCACTATAATGTCAACTTCCCCAGGGAAGGTAACAACTTACTGAATTCCCCTCCCAACTCCCTCTCCATCTTGCCCCCTTCACCTCTCCAAGCCTGACGCCTAGCCCAGGGGCTGGCATGTGAAAGACATTCAGTAAATGTTTGTTAAGCAGCAAATGCAAATGATCAAAGCCTCAGCAGGGATCCAAAAGGTCTTAGGGGCTCAAAGGATGAAGGACACCTGACTTGCAGAAACTGGGAAGATTTCATGGAGGAATGGGCGTGGGAGATGGACTTTGATGGGTGACATTCTAAAAGTGCGAGATAAAGAGGGCCAGAGGCAGAAGAGCACAGTGTACATCTCAGAAACTGGAAACGTGAGGACGGATGTGGTGGAGCACAGAAATGGAGAGGTGGGCTGTACAGACTCTGCCACAGTAAAAAGCTTATGACTAACTTCACCTGCTAACAGCAGCATTCAAAGGTGATGGGAGCTACATTTTGGGAAGATGAAACTAGCATTAAGCGTACAGAATGAGGGAAAAACTGGATTCAGAGGGTCCAACAAGGAGGCTGAAGTAGAAAAAGGATGTTGGTCTCAATGAGCAGTGGTAACAAGGACAGAAAGAACACACAGGGCATGTTTTAAAGATTATTCCTACAGGCCTCAGCAACTGAACGCCAGTAGAAGGAAAGAAAGAGAACAATGGCAGACATGACTCCAAGATTCCAAGGCCTCCTGACAAAGAAAATGGTGATATGTTAACTTAAAAAGGCAATTCTGAAAGAGAATACACTTTGGGGAAAGAGTTCAGCACTCACTTGTTCAACATTTACTAAATACCTGCTGGATATTGGGCACTGCTTAAGTGGCAGGGCTACTAGGAAAATAGGCCAGGTCTTCTTTAAGAAGCTTACATTCTCATGGGAGATGTCAATAAACTGGCAAAAAAAAAAAAAAATCAGATGGTGGTAAGTCCTCTGAGGAAAATAAAGCAAGACAATGGTGCAGATGGATTAGGTGACGCTGGGTGCTTTGGGGAAGCCCTCTGACTGGATGAAAGGTGGCCTCGGATTCTCCATCATTTCCCCCACTGAGAGACGGAATTTATCTCCTCTCCCCCTGAATCTAGGTTGGCCATATGACTACTTGACCAAAATACTGTGGCCAGGGCCTGGCCTAAGCTATACCAGGATCAGCGGCCTCTACTTTATCACTTAGGAATGCTTGCTCTTGGAACACCCTCTTGGACCTCAGCCACCACACTGTGAGAAGGCCAAGCCACACGGCGACGTCCTGTGTCAGGGCAGACTAAGCCTCCAGCTGGCAGCCAACGTCAATGGCCAGCCACGTAGATGAGCCATCTTGGTGGTTCTGATCCAATCCCTCGGTAGCTGACTTGGTGATCTAGCCACCAGCATATGGAATAAAGTAACCACCCAGCGGAGCCCAGTGAAGCTCCATAAGCCACAGAATCATGGGAGGTAATAAAATGGTTGTTTAAAGCCCCTAAACTTTGGGGTGGTTTGTTACACAGTGGTAAATAACCACAACATTTAAGCAGAAAAACGGTAAGAAGCTAATAACCTTAGGAAGATCTGGGAAAAGACCATTCAGAGCCGGGACATAGCAAGTATAAAGGCACAAGTAGGGAGTAAATTTGAAGCATTCAAAGAACAAGCAAGAAGGCCAGAACAACTGGGTCTTGTGAACGAGCTAGTTGGGGCAGGGGGTGGGGGTGGGGTGCAGTGAGGGAATCGGCCACAGTAACGAGAGTAGTTTTTACTCTAAATGTAACAGGAAGCTAGCCACTTAAGGGTTTTAAGCAGAGAAGTGATAGAATCTGGGTTACGTTCTAAACTAAATCACTATGGCTACTATGTGCAGGCAGGAACAGAAGAACAAAAGCAGGACATTAGTAAGGAGGATATGAGTAGTCCCGCTGAGAGATGAAGGTGGCATGAACTAAGACAGCAACGAAGGTGATGGGGAATGATCAGATTTTTAAAATTTGAGGTAGACATTACATTATGTTGCAAAAAACAGCTAACAGGTCACCAAGCATATTCCTTCTTCTTTCTGTACACATAGTGACTACATATCCCAGCCTCTCTTCCAGTCAGGTATGTGACAATTAAGTCCTGGCCAGTGCAACAGCAGCAGAAGGGTATGCACACCACATCCAGGTCTGGCCCATGAAAGCCTCCCGTGCACGATCCTGTGGCTGCCTCGCCACCCTGGCCCCAGCAGGGAACAGGGAGGGCACTGAGCCCTATGGGAAGGCAGCCCAACTATGGAAGGAGCTGGGACCCTAAACAACCCCATGCACGGCCACCCACTGAGTGGGAACATGTCTTTCATGTGAACACAAATTTCTTTTATAGTTAAGTCTTGAAATTTAGAGGTTTTTGCTTTTTGGTTTTTTTTTAAACATCATCTTGTGCTATCCTAATACAGAAATACACTGCAGAAATTGCTGGTAAATTGGACATAATAAGTAAGGACAAGAGACTATTGAAATGGCATCTAGATTTGTGACCTGGGCAACTGGGAGAATGGGAAGGACTGAGGGACACTGAGGTGGGCAGATCACAAGTTCTGACAGATCAAGAGTTCTGTTTTGGACACAGTCAATTTCAGATGTCTACTGATACCCAAGTGGAGGTGTCCAATACACAGCACGGAGCTAAGGAGAGAAGTGTGGCTACAGAAACATCAGGATGTAGATGGGGTTTAAAGTCATGGACTAGATAAGATCACAGGGCGCTCTATTATTAAGATAAAAACCTGAGCCCTGGGGCCTGCCAACACTAGGAGGTCAGAAAGAAGAGGGGGAGCAGACAAGAGACACTGCCCATGAGTACTAGTGAGGCAGGAGGAAAACCAGGAGAGGCTGGTATTCCAGGAGCCAAGTGAAGAAAGAAAAGAACTGATAGCTACATCAAATGCTGCTGAAAGATCAGGTGATCAGAGGGCAGCAAACTGACCACTGGATTTGGTACAGCAGCTTTTAACAAAGTGGAAGGGACAAGAGCCTGACACAGGAATAAAGGAAGAATTCAGCCAGAGGTTTTGGGTCAAGATGACACAGTGACTCCGTGCTCCAAAGCACTCCCTGGACTCCTACTTCTGGCCAAGATGGAGTAACTGGGACCAGATTTACCTTCCTGCCTGAACCAAGAACTCTGCACAAAATAAATGAAACTGTTTTCAAGACACTGGACAGCAGACAAGAAAGAATGGTGGTCCCTAAAAGATGTGTAACAAACATGGAAAGCCCCTCCACTGCCCTGGATTACTGTCTTAAGAAGAGTTTCCAGGCCATGGGCACCCAGAGGGGGAGTTCAGACAGAGCCCAGAAGGCCCTGTGAGGAGATGGAGTTGAGAGTCTGCAGAAACCAAGGCAGCTGGAGTTCAAAGGAGAAAGCCGCACAGAGACAGACCTCCAAAGATCTGCAGAGGGCCCCTGAA